CTGCACTGTGGTTTTCAGTGTGTGTGGGTGCTATGAGGATTAAAGACACCCACATGCATCTGGAAAACAGGAGTGTGTTTTTTACTACGGTAAGGTATGTGAATACATGCCTTCCCTCACCCATTCGGATGTGAACCTAGAGTAGGGGCGGACTGACCATTTGGAAACTCAGGCACTGCCTGAGGGCCCGGGGTCAGTAAGGGGCCCCATGAGATGCCCCTGGTACCTTTCATAGGCTTGTTTGGGTGTGGTTTGAGTGTGGGTGAGGATACAGGGGCCTCATGATCCCCTATTGCCTGAGCTAGAGTTAGGCTAAGCTGAGGTGGTAACCTCTAAACTGATCAGTTGTGCTGTTAAAACCATTGACTGATGGGGATCCAATTGGAGAGATCATAACCAATTGAAGAGTTTGGGGCATTTTTTGTTTTATGTTTCTGCCTGTTTATATTTTTGCCTAAACCCAAGGTTTGCAATCCCCATTTACCTTCAAATATTTGCTTTATTAAAAAAATATGAAACCTAAGATTAGACATAACTCTTTCAATGATAAATCTTTTTGTATTTTTTTTAACTTAGTTTAATAAAAAAAAAATGTACACACAAATTTTACTTGTCAAGCCAATAGAGTGCAAGGTACTATCCAGCAAACAGTGTACACAAAGGGAATTTTCACAGCTCTGGAGTATCAAAGTCTATAAATTCTCCACATACCGCAGCAACAAATAGGTACATCCACATATATGCACAATCAAACAAGAAGAAAAAACTTACATTAAACAAGTAACAAAAAAAAGAAGAAAAAACAGAGTGAGCAATCGGACATAAGAATACTGCACACTTGTATGTTATTAGAATGTGTGTTCACACAAACTCACAGCATCATAAAAAGTTACTAAAGGAAAAAGAAAGAGAAGGGCACAATATTAGTGTTAGTCTCAAAAGTCATAATAGCTCTCAAACAGGGGTAGTAGCAAGAACAGAGTAGAGGGTTTGACTTTAAACAGAAGGTAACTAAGGTATGGGGTCAGAGACCAAATATAGAAGAGAGCCACTGGTGTCTTGTGTGTCCAGCCAGGGTCCCCTGAGTCTAGTAAACTTCCCTGGACACCATCTCACCTCCTAAGTTAGCTTACAAAGCGGAGGTTCTGATTAATTAAACGTTTCCACAAACCAATGTGCAGGGGGTCAGAAAGTATCCAGTATAATGCAATGGTATTCCTGAAAATCTTTTGTATTTTTAAGTTTAGATGTCCACTCCTGCAAGCTTGCCTATGCTTGGGATAACACATAGGTTTATCAATATTTGAAAGACAATATAAGACTACATTGCCATTTTGCACATTATTATTGAATACCAGGTCTATCATTAATGGTACTCTTTAGAAGTGCTCTTTTTTACTCTGCTACCCTAGAAACCAAACAATGAGCACTCTGAGCCAAATATGGTTCTGACTATATGTCAGCTCTAGAAAATACAAAGACAGATGCAGTGATGTGAGCTTTATTTGCCCACTATGATTTATAACACGATACATCTTTGAATTGGAATGTATGGCTTCAGCAATGATACATAAATTAAGAAAACGACATACAAAAACATCTCATAATAAATAACTCACTTCATGGCTACTGTATACCATACCATAAAAAAATGTATACAGTATAAATTTTTAGAGTGTTTAAGCTTTCTATGACAAGAAAGTGAACATTTATGCACATCATAAGAGGCAGGGGAAGATAGCTATCTTTCTAGTGATGCCACTCAAGAATATATACAGCCAGTTTTCTGTTTACAGTTTGATATCTGTAAAGACAACAAAATTGAATATGCCATTTTGCTAGACACAACTGTGATTTGCTGTCGTCTGAAGCTTTACCAGGCAATCTTGGGTACAAAACAGAAGCTTCAAGGTGAATAGCAGTCAAATTACTAGGCAATTACTTGGAAAGGACGATTATGTGCATACAGTGCATGCTTTGCAGTCCTTTTGCATCCTTTTCTCAGAGAAATATGTGGCATTAAGATTTAACATTTGCTCACTGTACTTGTAGTTTCACATATTGCTTATTCTTTTTTTAACTGTAAGACTGTGTTGCCCTGGACATTTTAATAGCAAATATGAAATTTCAATTTTAATTACCTTCTGGAAATTAAAGTGTTATTTGTGTTGTCATCAGCAGCTTCCTCTATTTAAATGCTAATTTACTTGTCAAACTGGTATAAAAAGGCTTGTTAAACAGGAAGTGATTTTACCAGGAAATGGATAGAGGAAGGAAGTGAGAGCCATGTGATTTAGAAGAACACAGAGAGCTGCAAGATTGAAAGGAAGAGCAGGCAACCATCCTGTGTGTTCCGTGGCCAATCAAGGACCCTATAGTTTTGCAAGAAGCATACATCAGCCCTTTAGAACTAATTGACATCCCTGATTCAACCACTTGAGCTCTGGAAGGTTTTACCCCTTCATGACCAGGCCATGTTTGCTATTTAGCACTGCGCTAATTTAACAGGTAATTGTGCAATCATGCAATGCTGTACCAAAATTAAATTTATATATTATAATTATATAATTTTTTCACACAAATAGAGCTTTCTTTTAGTGGTATTTGATCACCACTATTTTATTTTAAGCAAAAAAAAAATGTAACATTTTGAAAAAGAACACTATATTGTTTACTTTCTGCTATAAAACATATCCAATAACATATTTAAAAACATCAAATTTCTTCCTAAATGTAGGCCAAAATGTATTCTGCTACATGTCAAAAAAAAATCCCAATAAGTGTATATTGATTGGTTTGTGTGAAATGCATAATGTCTACAAACTCTGATATATAAAGTGGAATTTTTATTTAGACATTTTTTTTATACTAGTAATGGTGGTGATCAGCAACTTATAGGGGGACTGTGATAGTGTGGCGGGCAATATGACAATAATTGACACTGGGCAGGAACTGAATTACTGACACTGACATCACCAGTGACACTAATACAGTGATCAGCGATAATTCTATACACTGTCACTGTACTAATGACACTGGCTGGGAAGGAGTTAACATATTAGGGTAATCAAGGGGTTAAGTGTGTGCCTAACAATTGTTAATGTGTTTAATGTGCACTGCTTTTTACTAAAAATCACTTTATTTTTCTCCCTGCTTTGCAGAAAAAGCAAAGAGATTGTTTCCTCTGTACAAAGCCCTGTGTTGTTTGTGCTCCGGGCTGTGATTGGACACAGCTGCTCAGCAGGTCCTGGCAATGAATTCTGCTGCCTCTAATCACAGCGGAAGTCACAGCTGTCAAAAACCTAACTCATTGATGAAAGTTCATGAATGAGTTAGATTCATGACAGCAACCTTTGCATTTGCACTATTGCAGCATTGTACTATTCTGATAAACGTATTAAAAAAAAAAAGTAAAAAAAAAAAAAAAAAAAAAAAAATACCATATTGAGAAATTTTTAAAAAACATTTTTAAGGGTTTTTTTTTAAGTACTTGCCAACCGCTTACCCACATTTTTGCTGGTGAGCAGCAGCTCTTGGCAAAGCGACGTGATCTTGCGGCGCTTCCTGTTTTGTGGTGTGAATGTGCCTGCGCACCCCACTGCCCCCTCCGGTCGGTCCAGGGAGAGAAGAGAGAAAACGGCACCGAGTAAAAGCACTACATTTTACACACACACATTAGATTAGGACATTTAACCCTGTGATCGCCCCTATTAACCCTTTGATTGCCTCGTCACCCAGCCAGTGCCATTAGTACAGTGTCAGTATATAAAGTTTTTCACTGATCACTGTATTACTGCCACTAAGTGACATCAGATAATGTCAGGGTCAGTAAGCGCCCCTCCCAGCCAGGGTTAGCTAGTGTTAGACTGCCCGCACACTATCGCTCTCAGGTTGCTAATCATCGCCATTACTTGTATAGTGTTTGTACAGATCAATATAATGATCATGAACAGAACTACACTAGTGCCTCCTTTGTATAGTGTCCCAAAAAAATGCAGTGTTAGCAGGATCGGCCCTTTTCGCTGCCAGCACTAGCATTTACCCCTTCTGCTGTTTTTCACGTAAGATTTGTATCAATTGATTGTGGGTCAAGGCAATTTATAGGCAAAACAATACATCGCCCAACCAAATTCAGCTTTTGCCAGACAATTCGTATGGAAACCTATCACAGTTTCTGAATTTAAAATTTTGGGGGGCATAACCCTCAACATGGGCATTACAAAAAAGAATGAATTGCGGTCATATTGGTCCACACACCCGATTCATCATATGCCCGTGTTCTCTGCTACTACATATATGCCCAACATGGACCAGCAGTGCACTGGTATGTCGCTGGACTTTGAGTGGTTATACTGGTGTAGCGGATTGTGATAGACAGTCCACGTTCTATTAGATGATCAGTAAAATTACAATTTTATAGTCTTGCTACTCTCTGCTTCTTGCTCTCTAAATTTCTTACTCTCTTAAGAAAACAATCAGATATAGGGCAACGGAACAATGATAATCAAAGATGGTGCCTTCATCCGGAGTCTCACCCTAGGTGACTCATTAGAAGAAAAGTATCTTTTAACCACTTGCCTACCAGGCACTTATACCCCCTTATTTACCAGGCCAATTTTCAGCTTTCAGCGCTGCCGCACTTTGATTGACAATTGCGCGGTCATGCAACATTGTACCCATATGAAATTTTGATCATTTTTTTCTCACAAATAGAGCTTTCTTTTGGTGGTATTTAATCGCCACTGGGCGCTTTACTTTTTGCGCTATAAATAAAAAAATTGCAAAAAATTTGAAAAAAAAAAAAGTTTCTTTGTTTCTATTATAAAATTTTTCAAACAGGTATTTTTTCTCCTTCACTGATGTGCGTTGATGAGGCAGCACTGATGGGCACTGATAGGTGGAACTGATGGGCACTAATAGGCAGCACTAAAGGGCACTGATAGGCAGTACTAATGAGGTGGCACGGATAGGCGGCACTGATAGACAGCACTAATGAGGTGTCACGGATAGGCGGCACTAATATGCAGCACTGATAGGTGGCACTGATAGGTGACACTGATGATGGGTACTGATAGACGGCACTGACTGGCATCACTGCTGGGCACTGACTGGCGGCACTGACTGGCACAACCCATGGCACTGACTGGCACAACCCATGGGCTGCACTGGTGGGTCAGCACTGCTGGGCTGCACTGGTGGGTGGGCACAGGTGGGTGGCACTGGTGGGCACAGGTGGGTGGCACTGCTGGGCACAGGTAGGTGGCACTTCTGGGCACAGGTGTGTGACACTGCAGAGTGGCACAGGTGGGTGCACTGCTGGGCACAGGTGGGTGATCTGCTGGGCACAGGTGGGCGGAGCTAGTGGGCGCACTGCTGGGCACAGGTGGGTGGAACTTGCGGGTGGCACTGCTGGGCACCGTTCATCAGGGCACTGATCATCAGTGCCCTGATGATCGGTGCCGATCCCCGCTCTGACAACTGCCGGTTCTCGGCAGTACTTTCCTCACGATCTGACAGCGTGAGGAAAGTGCAGCCGAGAACCGGCACTTGCATTTCCCTCTGATCAGCGTGTCATTGGACACCGCTGATCACGTGGTAAAAGGCCGCTGTGATTGGCCTTTTACCACATCACGTGATCAGCTGTGTCCATAGGACACAGCGATCACGGAGATCGCTGGGTGCGCGCCCCTGGGGCGCGCAGGAGAGCGCGTTCTGGGAGGATGTCATATGACGTCCACTCAGAACTGGCCGGCCGCAGTGTAGCCGTCATTCGGCTATCTGCGGTCGGCAACTAGTTAATGTAAACAACCCCCATAAAAGGGAATGAGTCATTTTGGTGACAATGACTGGAAGATATCAACACGGATGGAAGAACACGCAAGAAATCTAGGGGACTTTTCCCCCAATCATCGTATATACTTCACCTGCGTCATGAGACTTATAAATGTTACTGTTATTTCCTCAATAAAGTAGAAATTAGGAAGTTGGCAAATAGCATTCTGTACCAGTGTCTTACTTCCACGTGCACGTATTCTCACATTAATTAGGCTCACTGGTAGATCACAACAGCTGTGGTCGGTAAGTGATCACATCCAAAACACCGGGATGAAGCCCGCAGCTACAAGCATCATCTTGATATTGCTTTTTTCAGCTGGCAGTTGGATTTAATTTAATAGCAATCCTAGTGGCCAATTAGCTGCTGAATTGTTTTTACAAGCAGCGGGGAGGGACACCCCTCTCCTGCTGCCTTCCACAGTTTTCTTGGGCCTTGTACCACAGGGGAATCTGAGAATGCAGCCAGAAGATCTGCTGGCTGACTATAGAGCTGATCAGAGACCAGAATGACTCTATAATCATCTCTATAGTCTAAGAAATCGGAAGCTATGAGCATTTCATCACTTCAGTTTCACAGGATATAAACAGCACCATTTGTAAATTGGGGAAGCATCTGATCACACTGACATGCTTCCCCAGAGGAGATAGACCCCAGATTTCTCAAAAAAGAATACCTGTCAATGCCTATTTCAGTCAGAGGGGATATTTACATTCCCTATGGTAGCAATAAAAGTGATTAAAAAAAAAGAAAAATAAAGGGGCAATGTAAACATAATAAAAGAAATCTAAATAATGGAAAAAAAATTAAAAAAGCACCTTGTCCCCCTGCGCGCAAGCGTTGACCCCATGACAGTATGTAAACAGCATGCAAGTGAGGTATCACTGTGAACATCAGATCGAGGGAAGTAATTCTAGCACTAGACCTCCTGTGTAAAATATAAATTGGTGACCTGTAAAGGTTTTTAAAGCATCGCCTATCAATAATAAAAATGTATGTACTTTGTTACCATTGCACGAGCATGCACAATTTTAAAGCATGTCATGTTTGGTATCTATTTACTTGGCATAACATTATCTTTTATATTTTATCAAACAATTGAGCAATATATTGTGTTTTGTTGCATTAAAATTCTAAAAAGTGTACTTTTCCCAAAAGATTTGTGTTTGAAAAATTGTTGCGCAAATACTTTGCTATGTAAAATATTTCAACACCCATTGTTTTATTCTATAGGGCCTCTGCTTTAAAAAAATATATAATGTTTCGAGGTTCAAAGTAATTTTCTAGCAACAAAACTGTTTTTTCATGTGAACAAAAAGTGCCAGAAAAGGATTTGTCTTCAAGAGTGGGTGATGTGTGGCATAAATTGCTAATGTTGGACCTGAAATGCCAGGATAACAGAAGCAACGCCTCCAAATGACCCCTTTTTGGAAAGTAGACACTCCAAGGTATTTGCTAAGAGGCATGGTGTATTTTTAAAGATCTCATGTGTTGCCAATGTTTTTGGAAAAAAGAAAACAAAAATGTATTTTTTCTTTTCTTTTTTTCTTTTTTAAAACTCTGTGACAGAAATTATAACTGTAAAATACTCACCATGCCTCTTATCAAATTCCTTTGAATATCTACTTTCCAAAAAGGGGTCATTTTGGGGGGGGGGGGGTGTTTGTATTATGCTGGCATTTTAGAGCCTCCAAAAATCTTTAAAAAAAGAAATAAAGTAATAAAAAATAAAAAAAGATAAAAATTAAAGAAAACATTTTTTTTGCATACTGTCACAGTGAGTGTCCCTGAGCACTGTCACACCAGTTATATGATGACACTGTACTGCAGTGGTGACAGAATGTAAACAAAAATATTGTACGAAAAACAAAAAAAGTTTTCATTTTTTAAAACATTGTGACAAAAAATTACAACTTCAAAAGACTTTCCACGCCTCTTACTAAATACCTTGGAGTGTCTACTTTCCAAAAAGGATTCATCTGGGAGATATTTGTATTGAAATGAGTTAGGCCATCAGTACATCAGGATTGATAGCTTTTTTTTTCAACCATAGTTTATAGAATTTTCCTACAAACTAAATAATATACACTGATTTTGGTTATTTTCACCAATGAAATGTAGCAGTATTTTGGCCTAAATGTATGAAGAAAGATTATTTATTTGAAAAATTTTATTACAGAAACTAAAAAAAAAAAAACATTTTTCAAAATGTTCAATCTTTTTTAATTTATTTAGCAAAAAAATAAAAACCTAGTGATGATTACGTACCACCAAAAGAAAGCTCTATATGTGTGAAAAAATTATAAAAATGTCAAATGGATACAGTGTTGAATGGCCGCACAATTGTCAAAGTGCGACAGCACTGACAGCTGAAAATTGGTCGGGGGAGGAAGGAGGTGACAGTGCCTGATATTGAAGTGGTAATCTTGAACACTTCCACTCTCCATTTTAAGCCTTACTTCAAACAGTATTTTCTGACTGGACTGCATTCACTGGAAAGTGCTACACTTGAGTGAAATCACCTTCCCCCAAATATCAATATACACTGCTCAAAAAATTAAAGGAACACTTTTTAATCAAAGTATAGCATCAAGTCAATTAAATTCCTGGGATATTGATCTGGTCAGCTAAGTAGCAGAGGGGATTGTTAATCAGTTTCAGATGTTTTGGTGTTAATGAATTAATTGACACTAGATGGGCAACAATAAGGCAACCCCCAAAACAGGAATGGTTTTACATGTGGAGGCCACTGACATTTTTTCCCTACTCATCTTTTTTGACTGTTTTTCCCTAGTTTTGCATTTGGCTAGGGTCAGTGTCACTACTGGTAGCATGAGGTTATACATGGACCCTACAGAGGTTGCACAGGCAGTACAACTCCTCCAGAATGGCACATCAATACGTGCCATTACCAGAAGGTTTGCTGTATCTCCCAGAACAGTCTCAAGAGCATGGAGGAGATTACAGGAGTCAGGATAGGGCCGTAGAAGGTCCTTAACTCATTAGCAGGACCGATATCTGCTCCATTGTGCAAGGAGGAACAGGATGAGCACTGCCAGAGCCCTACAAAATGATCTACAGCAGGCCACTGATGTGAATGTCTCTGACCAAACAATCAGAAACAGACTTGATGAGGGTGGCCTGAGGGCCTGATGTCCTTTCGTGGGCCTTGTGCTCACTGCCTGGCACCATAGAGCTTGACTGGCATTTGCTATTGAACACCAGAATTGGCAGGTCAGCCACTGGTGCCCTGTGTTTTTCACAGATGAGAGCAGGTTCACCCTGAGCACTGGTGACAGGCATGAAAGTGTTTGGAGGAGACGTGGAGAACGTTGTTCTGCACGTAACATTGTTAAGCATGACCATTTTGGTGATGGGTCTGTGATGGTCTGGGGAGGCATATCCATGCCATTAGGTATGTGGATGAAATCCTTGGACCTATTGTCAGACCCTATGCTGGTGCAGTGGGTCCTGGGTTCTTCCTGGTGCATGACAATGCTCAGCCTCATGTGGTGAGAGTATGTAGGCAATTCCTGGAGGATGGAGGAATTGATACCATTGAATGGTTCCCATGCTCCCCTGACCTAAATCCAATAGAACACCTCTGGGATATCATGTTTGAGTCCATCTGACACCATCATATTGCACCTCAGACTGTCCAGGAGCTCAGTGATGCCCTGGTCCAGATCTGAGAGGAAATACCCCAGGACACTATCTGTCATCTCATTAGGAGCATGCCCCAACGTTGTCAGGCATGCATACAAGCACATGGGGGCCATGCAATCTACTAAGTACCATTTTGAGTTGCTGCAATGATTTTTTTCACTTTGATTTTTGGGGTGTCATTGAATTCTGTCCTCTGTAGGTTGATAATTTTCATTTCCATAAAAACGATGGGGCATCCTTACACTCCTAACACATTACCCAGTCCAGATCAGTATAGATATCCAGCATGATATTTTTCCCCATTGAGATCTGATGTGTTTTAAAAGTGTTCCTTTATTTTTTTGAGCAGTGTATGTAATTGTGCACTGTGAGATGGCAGTTGGGATTCAAAAATCTAAAATTAGTACTTGTGGGATAAGATTATTCTTACTTAAAATGGAACTAAATAGGTTTCATGAAAGGAATGCTAACTGTCACAATTTCTTGTGCTCTCAACCAAACTGTCAAACCAGCAAATGGCTGGTGGTATAACTGATCACACATGCACCATCATGGCAGTTGCAGAACAAATAGAAGATAAGATGACAGCTTCCTTGGCTGAAAAAGATAGCTTTAAAACTGCTTTAAAACAGACGATAAAGCATAGGATTTTTCTATACATATGAATGGATAATTATCTATTCCCACATTTTTTAGAACATTTGGCAGGGGATTTTGTCCATAGTGTCTAATAAACAAGTGATTACATGAATCTGAGCATCATGTGTGATATCTGGGTGTATGCTGATAAAAATATCAGTTTTCCTTTTTGAGTTAAGGATGAATTGTGTTTCTGAGTGAGTAAAGCTCCCTTTGTTTACTTGCTGATGGGGTGTCTAACTGCTAAGCTCTTTGAATAACGATTTCCTCTCCAAGGCTAAGTGGTTCTAAACAAAGGAATTCATAGATTCAAAGGAATTCAAGATGAATAAAAAAAGTAACTTAGTACTTGGTGAAGGTTGGAATGCATTGATTTAGAAGGGAAGGGGAGAAAGCAGAGAAACACTTTTTCA